TGAAATCAAAGGGTGATACATGATTAAGAAGGATAACAACTAATCAAAAGGAAGAAAGGCTTACATTCTTGTAGATCAAGGTGAAAAACTCGATGATAGTTGAGAGAGAATCGATTTTCTAGACTTGGAAGTGTCAGAAATGACTAGAAATGAATGGATACTCTACATATGGGGGTGAGTTTACGGCCAACATGGGTGTACGGTCGTACACCCATGTGTACGGACGTACACTCCCTTTGATGGAGTGTTCGGCTTGATTTCAACGCGAAGAACCTAAGCAACTCAATCCTATACCCAATGCTTGAATGTACTGAGCTTTGAACCCTTAAAATGATCCTTAACAATGCTAATTGATATCAGAAACGAGTCTGACACGCGGTTGAATTGAATGGCTGGACTTACAAGGCAAAAAATTTCGGGTTGTCACATGAATTAATGCATGCATGTAACCAATTGTCTCATAAAGCTTGCACCTTTATGCTCAAGGAGTCCAATACAAACTTAGATCTGGAATAACAAGCCAATAAAACGACTTCACTCTCTCATCAACCCAAAAAGGGACCAAAAGCATAACAAAGCACAATATAAAAAATTCTAAACATCTATAAGTCAATGTTCAAACTTGATACCTTAGAAAGCTTGCACAAAAGAAGATAAAGTTGGATCCAAAGCCTTTGCACCAAGCAAGACAACTTCAAGATCTCCTCTTCCTTCACAAGGACCAAAAATGAGCACCAAGAACTTCTTACTAGCTCAAGAACACCACCAAGAGACTTAAGGATCGATTTTAGGGTTTTAGTGGCAATGGAGGCTAGTAAGGAGGTCAGCCATGAGGACATAAGGCATTTATATAGGGTGCAACACACAAAAAATTAGGGTTTCTCCACCATCCGCCAACACGCCGTGTAATGACACAAACACGTCGTGTTGGCCCAATAAAGTTCGCCACCCAAAGGCCTATCGAGACGTCGTGGTGGGGCTTCACCACGCCGTGTTCAAAGAGAATCATGAACACATTTGGAATTAATTTAATACATGGAATCGAGTGTTACAGTACCGCTTTTAAATAAAATATTTATATAAAATATTTATGTTTAGACATTATATTTATATTGTTTGTTTATACTTTTGATGTAATTTAATTAATATCGGTGTCTTGTTTAAGAAATGTAAAAATAATTTATATACATGAATTTAATATTTTAAAATTGCCATTTTGCTCCAAATTCAATTTCTTCATAACTTTCATTAATTCAATTCTTCAAACTTTTGGCAAGTATTAGTGATTTATTAATGCATAATTGATTTGTACAAAAAATTTTGTATCTTATACCTCTTAAAATTCAAGATATGACTAATATGTTTTATTATATATATA